AATAAGCGATTTAAAATGATTGGACGTTTTCTTCATTACATTCTGTCGTATATAATCCATTGTATATATTTATTTTCCTAGATTCCATGCACGTTATTGGGAGAAGTGAACAATACAATTTACGCATACACGCACACACACAAACAAACACAGAGAGACAGACATAAGATGTAAACACGCATTCGTCAGCAAATTAAAACGTATATATGCATACCTAGATTCAAATACACACTACACACGCGCGCGCACAAACACACACGTACACACACACACATCAAAAAGTATAAAAAGAATACAATTTAAGTTAATTTGCATACCAAGCGTATATATTAAATGTGCGTGTAATGATATGCAAATGCACATATACGCATTAATTAAATGCCGATCTGTGTGTGTGCGCGCGCGTGTGTGTGAGTGTGTGTACTCAATCACAGAGAAGAGTTTCTATGCACACCTAAACATGAATAGGTACACGTTGTCCACATATTTGTTCATTTGTAAATCCCCAAAACTATTGTATATAAATAAATATGTATTTTGTATGCATGCATATGTGTGCGTGTGTGTATGTTTATTCATGAACTTATTCATAAGCTTAAACACACGTACACACACACACATACACACACACACACACACACACGTACACATATTTTATGAAACGCCTGCAGAATTTCATAAACAAGATGACGATTCTTCATTGTTTACAGGTTTGTACCAGTTCTTCTGGATTTGCTCATTATCATCATCATCTCTCTCTCTCTTTCTCTCTCTCTCTCTCTTCCTAACACAAACACACACCACACATTCATTCTCTTAATCTCTTGCTTATTTGCATCGTTGCATTGTACTTGTTCGCCTATTGTACTGTACTACAAGCATTCAGCCTATGTACTATTTCAAACACGTAAAAATGATAAGCTACTTGTATGATGTTGAGAGTAATTTAGAAACTCATTGTGCGTCTCCAACCACGTGAAAGTTAACGTCAAACAATATGCTAAGTGGGTTCATTTGCATTCAATGACCTTTGAACTTTTGTTAGTAATACCTGTCTGTCTGTCTGCCTGCCTACCTGATTATTTGACATGTACGTGTGATTTCTTCGCTGGGCTGATGGGTACCAACGCAGTACGCACATCACTGTCAGTCACCATTTATGAATGTAGATACGTGTAAAGGTGAGAAGATTGAAAAATAAATGAGAATGAACGTGCTATATTTCAGTTCCGATCATCACTTATCGCCCGTCTAAACTCAAAAAACTGTGATGCAAAAACTTGCACGTACATAGAAAGCGAGTATGTAGGCTTTGTGCGAAGTGGATGTTGCAGCATTTGTGGCAAGAAAATTTGACTAACCATGAAACGATATCTAAAAAGTTTGTCAGAGCTACATTGTGAGGAGCCAAAAAAATACATGATAACAAATTTCATCCTAATTTTAAGAATTGTTGTGAAAAGTGGTTTACAAGATGGAATTCATTCATCCTGTACTGAAATTAGTTTAAAAGAGGAATTCACCATGAATTCAGTAACAATACTTCGGTTACTTTGAAACGAAACGCAACAAAAAACAAAAAATTTTGTTTTTATTCTCAATGAATTGTTTCTCATCTGAAACTAAACGTAAAATAAATTAACAAGATCATAAATATGAAAAAGGAAACCTTATTGCTCGTACTCCGCTCGCATGAATCTTCTTTCATTAACAATTAAGGTTTATAATTGATGTTATCATGAATAGTGATTGGTTTATTAATTAATTAATGCTAGGAATATGCATTAATTAATTAATCAATTAGTTAACTAATCAACGTCATGAATAAACATGCCAAAAACTAATCGCAAATGTATACAAATACACACACGCACACACATCACACACACCACACACTCACTATCATCATCGTCAGAGCAGACGTTTAAAAATCAATACTTACATACAAACTGGCTAATCGTTGATCGATTGAAAAAATTTTTTCTTTCAACAAAAATTTGACAACAGGCTACGTTAGAATAATAAGACTAATAATTATAAACTATATAGAAAAGAGTTATTATTATTATATTGTAATCGCCATAATCATTTCATCACATCATTGCTATCATCATCTTTATAGGCTTCACTCAATCATTTACTCATTTCAAAAGTAATGTAACCGAAGGCATACTGTTGAAATATTATTTCAGCGATAATAAAATATAACTAATTAAACGTATCAACTATAAATATCAATTAAATATAATACAATGACGACAAAAAATAATTTTGACATATAAGTTAATTAATTTATCAAATAATAAAAAAAGTTTATTTTCCAATTAATTTCCCGCACAATTAACCAAGTAAACAAGCGGGTCTATTTTTAAATAAGAACAAAACGAAAAAAAACAACAACAACAATAATAATAATAATGAAATATTATTATATTGTTGTGATAAAAATAAATAATGCTTTCATAATTCGATCAGATCAATCGATGAATTAACTATTCACCATCATCACAGTAAGATGATGATGCGAGCAAGACTAAGAGGGAATGATTGAATAATGTGATTAACCAAATGAGTAAAATACTAACAACAATAACAAACATAATTAACAGTAATAATAATAGTAATAAAAACAACGGTAACAGCAATAATTAAAAAAACCTACAAAAATAAAAAACTTTTTAATATACAACATATAACGAAAAACATAACGGTTGATCTAATATATAATCCCATAACCTCCATAAAACAAACATTTTTTTCCACCACGATAAATTTCAACACACACACACACACACACACGCACGCACAGACACACATGAAAAATTTATCGTGTTTGTAAGTACAAAAAAAAACGATAAAAAATTTATTCATATAAATTGTATATAAAGTACTTTACTTTACTACATAATCACTATTTTGTTTTACAAAATTTAGAATTAAAAGTTAGAAATAGAAAAATATAACAAGAGAGAGAAAAAAAGAGAGGGAGAGAAAAAGAGAGAATCATAGTTAATTTAACAGGTGGGTCTAAAATTAAAATTAAATTAAAAAAAGTCATGGAGGAATAATATCGCACTGCAAATAAAATTTCTTAAATTAGGATTTGATTTCAGATAAAATGGATTCGGTACTCAGTTTAAAAACTACGGCAAAACAAATATTGCAATACACAGACAAACACACACGCAAACACTCACAAACAAACAATCACACACAAACACACATACACATTGCACGTAAAAACGATGAATGGAAACATTAAATAAAATGCCTCAGGTAAACGCAAACTTTAAAGTACTATCTGGATAAAATATTAAACAATTTTTAACTAAAAATAAAAAGAAACCAAGAAAAAGTTCCCATAAAAGCAGCAAAAAGTGTGTAGGTAAGCAAAAAATAAAACAAAGTAGAGTATACAAAGTATTACTGAAGATATCGTAAGAAATGAATGTTCAGATACAAAATTAAATACGCCCTAAGTTCAAAAAATATCAATATAAAATAAGTATCAATATGTAAATTTTGTATTTTAGCATTTAATAAGTAAAAATGTTGTACTGAGAACGCAAGTAAAAGTATTAAATAGTTAATTAATTTAACTACACACACACACACAAACTGTATATTGATAAAATTAAAAGTTAAACACTTATAAGTGTAAAGACATACATAAACGTGTAAAACATTAAATATTATTAACATTAGTATTAGCATTACATAAATAAATAATTACACACATACACACATACAAACACACACACACACACACGTATATAATTTGAAGTTTTTTTTTCAATATAAAAATAACAAAGATAAAACACTAACTAAAAATTAGGAAATGTTTTTGAAAAAAGAAAAAAAAACATAAACAAATTTTGTCGAGATTACGTAAGTAATCTCGACAAAATTTGTTTTGTATGAAAATAAGTATGTATACAACATTAAACATTATATTTGTATACACAAATGTATATCTATCTTTATATACAGTATTGTATGAATTATACCGAATTGTTGGCATTAATCGATTTAAAGTTTGTCTTTCCAATTTTCCTTACTAGAATTTTCTATCTTCATATGCATGTAGGTGTAACAGATAAATTTTTTTATATAGTTCTACATCAACAGTTTCATATATCTACACACATATATCCATTTAATTTGCCGCCCACGTATGAAATTGTATAAACAAATACAGAACAACCAAACAAACATCACACACACACACACAGCACACACACACACACTTAGCGTACCCAGCATTTTTTCGCTAGTGGTGGGGTATGGAGGATTTTAAAATTCTCAGATCAATGACCTAATTTTTGAACAACTTTTTTTGATAAATTTCCTTTACTTTGTTACTACATTCCATACAGATCCTTCAACCTTTTCCTCTTCCAGGATCTTGAGGGAGAATACATTCCCGTCACCCACTACAAACATCCGCTACCTAACATAGAAACACACAAAAAACCAGCGAATGTGTACGTTACGTACTACTGATACGTAACAGCATACGTACACATACTCGCATTTTATTGTATTAATCAGTGTACAATTTTATTGTCACACACACAGGCACACACACACACACACATATACGCACCATCATCTAGCAGATATGTATTTTGTACACCAATCATAAATACCATGTATTAAATACCATGTCTGTGTGCGTGCGTGTGTAGTAAATGATTCTCAAGGTATTAATAAGAAATTATATGTGCGTGTTTGAGTTTATCTTCCTTTCTGTCATATAGGCCATCAGAACTTTTTAAATTTTCTAACTATCTCTTGAAATGTCGGCCTCTCCTCACTCCTGGAGTAATTTTTTAATGAAATATGAGAGAATCTTTGAATGAAATATTTAAAAATAATAATACCCCTTCAAATATTACAAAATATATATCTGGATCTCTATTGGTAAAATCAACCCCAAGATAAAATTTTAATTTTTTTTAAAATATGATTTCCACACACAGCTCATAAGCACACAAGTATCAATGGAACAGCAGCAGAATAAAGATATAGGATCTATTGGTATCTAACTTTCTCTTCCAGCATTCCAGCATCAGATCGTAGAGGTGTTGTGGGCATTCGGTCGGCCTCTCCATGCGTTCATCATTGTCCAGCATTTCTAAGATAGCTGCCCCCTTCATGCCCTGGTCATTGTTGTGAGTGAGTGAGTAAGTGTGAGTGACGTTGGTGAGGCTGATAATGACGTAAAATATGATGGTATTATTTATCTCGGTGATGATATAAAGAATGAAAATGTTTACGTCGTTAACGAATGACCAACTAATTGACAGATCAAGCAATCGACTGAACAGTGACCAAATCAATTGACCAATCGCAATCAGACCTTGTAAGGTTTATTCCCATACGATGTGGCCTCCCAGAGTGTCACTCCATAACTCCAGACATCTGATTTTGAATCGAACCTGTAGAAGTAGAGACATTCAGGAGCGTACCATTTCAGCGGCCACCTACCTGTCTCATTGGCCTGAGGGGGTGTACAGATTGTCATACGTTAAATTTTATGGATAAATTCAAATTTAAAATGATGAAACATAATAAAGTAAAAACTAATCAGGAACAAATAATAAACAACTTAAAGACTTATTGAACGTTTTCAAATTAAAAAATCTATCCATCAATCCATACATGCCTCCATCCATCCATCAATCAATCAACAAATCCATCATTTATTAACCTATCAAATCTCAAACCTTGTAGTAATTATTTCCAATGCCTATGGCCTTACTCATGCCAAAGTCACTGATCTTTGCGTGTGTGTCATTGGCAAGAAGAACATTCCTGGCGGCGAGATCCCTGTGGACGAAAGATTTGCTCTCCAAGTAGGCCATGCCCTGGGCAACTTGATTCATCAGCAGCTGGATGTTACTCATCGACATTCTGTGGTTGTTTGTGGTGGGAGGTCATCATCATTTTGACGGTGTTTGCGGTTTGGGAAAATTTTGCTGATGATGATGTTGTTGAATGATGTTCTCATTCTATTTCTAAAACTTCTAAACCACAAATAACTCTATAGATGATTGTTATATCAACATTCAAAACAACGACATCAATGATAATTATACTAAACAATCAAATCCCTCATAGCACTAACTTAGGAACTTTCTTGAGATATTTGTTGAGGGGTCCAAGGGCAGCAAGTTCAAGAACCAACATGATCTGGTCGGACTTGCACACGCCAATCATCCTCACAATGTACTGGTGCTCCAGTTGGGCCATCAATCGAGCTTCACACATCAACTCTTTCTGTTGTCAGTGGTGTTTGGTGTTGTGTGCGGTAATGCTGCTTGCAATCATATTTTGAGAGAGAGAGAGAGAGAGAGAGAGAGACAGAAAGAGAGAGAGAGGAGAGAGAAAAAGAGAGGAGAGAGAAGGGAAGAATAATAACGAAAAAAAAGCAAGAAAAAGTAGAAAGAGAGAGAGAGAGAGAGAGAGAGAGAGAGAGAGAGGAGGTAGTTTTATACCACTTCACTAAAAAATTTACAACACTTTTAAAAAATTCTAAATAAATTACACGGCAGACCTCAGCGTTGATATCAGAATTTTTTAAAGTTTTCACGGCGACAGGGATGTTCCTGCCCTTGTACTTGTAACTACCCAACTTGACGGAGCCGAAATTTCCATTCCCAAGGTCTGATTCCAAGGTGAGGTCGTTGAATTTGAGATTGAAGACATCATCCGATCGGGCCACACCATCGTATGTGCCTTCCTTTGGAGGGGTCAGTTGTACTGTTGGTTGGTCTGGGAAAGGAGAAAGAGATTGAGAATCATAAATTGTATAAATTAAAAATTGAGAAATATAACTGAACAGAAAAAGTTTGATGACGTAAATTTGAAAGTAATGAATAAAATTTTAATAAAATTCCCCTATAGAAACCATTAGCATCGTCATCAGGCTCCTTAATGTCAAACTCTTCCAAAGGTAGACTCGTGTTGGCTACCTGGTTGTGGCAACCAAAAAAAAAAACAATTTAGTTAAAAAATTATTTCAATATAGGTAAATGATAATTATACAAAATTAATTTAACAATAAATTAGGAAACCAATAATGTTTCTATTAAATAACAAACTTAATCGCATGAAAATATTGATAAAAAAAAAACAACACCCCAAATAAATCTAACCATCTGGATCTAATCCAATCACTTGATCTAGTCATTTAAACATCCCATGCAAATGTAAAGAGAGGTAACAAATAAATGATGAATAAATAAGACCCATTATCGAGGTAGTAGAAACAGCAAACGACATTCATTTTCAAATTTGAATCAGGTGCTTATTATTTGTTTAAAATTAATTGACAATATTGTAGGTGTTATAACAATTTTTTTTTTCAAAAATTAAACAAACAAAATTGATTTCAGTGGTTTAAAAAACTGAATGGCAACTAACTGGTCTTCCACCGTATATGGGGTTAGTGCCAACATCATCTGTGCAAAAATAAACAGAAAAATAATTTATAACACTATAAATATATATTAATTATTATATATTATAAAGCAAAAAATTTTATATCCACAAAAAATTAACTGTAAAATTTAATAATTGATTGTATTGGTAGGTACATAACAATCGCAAGCAGTAAAACTACTACAGTGAGACCAGAAGTTCAAGAAAATTGAACTTCCAAAAAAATCCCTTAAAAACAACTCAAACATAGATGATAAAACTGATAAGAATAATCACAAAAAAAGTTTAAAAACTGATAAATATTTCGAATAAAGAACTAAAATTATAAAGGAATATAAGAAATTTGTTGTATATATTAAAACAAAAAAAACAAACAAAACACACGTTTAGACGACATTTTCCCCGAGATCAGGGGTTGCCGTTTGGCTACCTATGATGAAACCGAAATACCCCTCGACGCCATCCACATCTGTCATTCGCCTCAGTATCACGCAACCCCGCTTTCACCCTTTTGCCCTCTGCAGTACACTTTCCTCCTCTCTCCTCAACACCCAAGTTTCACCACCATATACCATCGCTGCTCTCACACATGCTTTATATACCCTCCCTTTCATCTTCACTGACCATTTCTTTCCACACAATACCCCATCCAGTTCCCTAAATTTCATCCATCCCACACGAACTCTAGCCGTAACTGCGCTCAAACATCCTCCATCCGCGTTCAGCTTATCCCCTAAGTAAACAAAGCTTTTCACTCTTTCAATACCACCACTCAACCCCGTCCTTGCGTCCGTCCTATTAATCACACCATGAACACACTTCTTACATTTGAACGAATATATTAAACAAAAACAACCTCCAAATATTTTTGTCTCCTTTTTGTCCAATTTTTGCGATAGCAGAACGTTGTTAACTTGCAGAGCAGACCATCCATCTTGTTATGATAGTGGGCTATCATCTATAGGAAATGATGGCCATTCATAAAAAAAATGGTGACACCAATGTTTTCAGTTACGCTTTTTATTTCTAATAAATTCAATAAAAGTTATTTGAAACCATTTCATGAACAAGATAGAAACGTATCAATCAACTAGTTTATCACTTTTAGTTGAATTCTAAACATTTTTACTGTCTTTAAAAAAATTAGACACATACAATCATAAGTTTATAAAAAAATGTTGTTTGAATTCTAAACATTGTTACTGATTTAGCATGATAAATGAATAAGTAAATAAATAATTGGACACGTACATCCATAAGATTATCAAAGTTTGGACCATCCTCAATGGCCAGTCTGTCCTCTCCTTCTGCATTCCTCCTCTTATCAATTTTGTAATGCTTGGTGCAGTTATGGTAGCTAAGACTCAGGGCATAGGACGTTTTGTCCCTCTGCCTCACTCTGTTGTATTGAGAGTTTTGTAGTGGTCATGTGATTACGTGGTGACGTGAGTGTGACGTGATTATGACGTGATCTTGTGTTGGGATTACTATGTGATTTTGTGACTAAGTGACAAACAAACATACATACATACATACATACATATATACAAACAAACAAACAAACAAACATACACATACAAAAAAAACATACAAAAATTTCCCATCTATATGTCCTGATGCAGAAATGGCAGTCTGAGCATTTTCCCTTGTTATGCAACCATGATACCAAGGCTGTTCCTCATGTAATTTGGCTGCAACCTTGTGAGAAAATTAAAAAATATATTTTAACAACAACAACAACAATAAATTAATTTAGCTACAAGCTGTTAATGTTAACTGATCAAGTAAAATGGTTAAATTAAAAAAGTAATTAATGCCAGTAAAATTATTGCAAAGAAATGCATAGTGCAACTGAAATAATTTATGAACAATTAAACTTATGTTTCTTCATTGGGCTTTAAATGCAAGCAGCATAAAATTCATTATTTATGAAAAAGATTTAAGAAAATAAATAAAAATTTTTAGAAGAATACTTTCTGCATGAACTTTTGTCTTTGGGGTCCAAAAACATTTTGTCGACCTTGTGACTGAGAGGTGGTAGATTAATTAATAAATTAATTAATTAATTAGTATCACAATTTTATAACATTAAAAAAGTATTGAGAAGAAAGATTTGAAAGTAAAATTACACTGAACTTTAGTGAATATTATTATTATTGTCAAAGAAATGGGCAAAATGAACGTGGTTAGAACTAAATACACTTAGATTAAACATATGATAAACAGTAGCTGCATAGCAAGTTCAACAGGAGACAAAACAATTTAACAGTAACTTCAAACATTAACTAACTTCCTAGATGAACTTAGTACAACATGAAGTAAGCAAATAAGTAAACAAATGCACACACTTTGAAATTTTTGAAAAAGTTAATAAAGAAAAATTTGCACTAGTACATTTAGTTTTCGACTTTCAGCCTCTTGGATTAAAAGTTCTTCCAACTCCAGCATGGTGACTCCGGGCCAGGCCATTGGAGCTTTGTTTTTTGGTCGGGCACACGGGATTTTTGGTTTAACTAAAAACCCATCAAGATATTTTGAGTGGTGCTGTATGAGTTCAATGGGGCCTGGAAAGGGTCGTCCTTCGGGGATCATGACTGTACCATCTTGTTGCAGTTCAATGGAGTAGTGATGTACCCTATCCAAGTGCGAACATAAAAACATTTATATGAACGAATCAGAGATAATATAATTGTGTTTGAGCAATTAATATGAAAATTTTACAGAATGACATGTTTTTATAATTTGAAAAGGTTTTATTGAAAATTTTAAAATGTTTGCAATATTAAAAAAAATTATTGCAGACAAAATAAAAAACTATTTTAGAAAGGAAAAAATGACAACTTGTTTTGGAAGCAAATGGAGAGTGCATAGTTTC